TCTTGGATTATTTACAATAATTCAATGCAAAGTTACACATTGTCTTTCTTCAAATTTGTAGCAAGGAAACCGATCACAGGACTTTACTTCCTAAGATCGCTTTTTACCTTGAGTCGCTTTCGAGATAATCAATTTTCTTCCTCCAAACAGGAAATGTGCTCTATATTGCTACAAATACTACCTTTAAATTCGTTTACTTATCACATTTAAGTAGTATAGAGTCAATAAATTGTTTTTAAAATGACTTATTAATTTATTTTGTCGACATCAAACAACAATGCTTGTAAATGTGATATTTTTAGTACTTTACCTTACTATTCCCATTTTCGAATCCTTTTCCGGAGAAAACTGCTTAGAGTAAGAAGTCTTGCACCGCATAAGGTTAGGGTTTACAAATAATCCAAATTTTGTGTGGAAGAATAAGGTCTCTCTCCTAAATGAGAAGAAATGACAACTGCTCAGTAACGAGACGTGTCTAATCTGCCCCTTGGTAACCAAGACAAGGGTATTCAAACAAATGTGCGTTACATAATCCCTCACATCTTATCTATTCCACAATGCAAGCATTGCTAAAAATGAATGGCTATGAGAACTCAGTGATACTCACAAACATGGTCTAACGTAACTTTTTTAATCTTAGTTTCATCAACAACTGTGCCGTGTCTTAATTTGCAGAGACATCAGACTACATTTGTAGCAAAGTGGTTTGCATCTGCAGCGCAAGTTTGCTCTCTCCCGCCGATGCGATACATTTCCGCCTCCATCCCTAATTTCACGTGTCTCGACCAAAGAAATTATCGCACTTTTGAAATAAAATCGTAGGCAGAGTATTTTATCTCCGAATGTTTAAAAAGTGGCATCGATTAAAAATTGGTCAAGGTTGTTGCCACGGGGAAAATATCATTATTTACTGTAATTTGCACTTTTAAACAACACTCCAAAAGAATATTGCCGGAAATTGCAATATGATTTTGGAACAATTTAGTTAGGCATTTGGTTTTAAAAATTAATCTCTAAATTCAAATAAGTCTTGCCTATTCCAATTCCAAGGAATTTTTGAAAGTCATTTTATGGTATTAATTCTGCTAATTCAAGACACACTTAAACGTTGGAGGCCTCCAACAAGGAAGTGAATTTAATTACCTTATTTTTACCTTGGGACGACTTTGGGGCGAACTTGAAATTTTTTGAGTTTTGCTCTGATAATTTACTTAAATTCAATCTTTATGTCCAATGTGCTCATCCAGGCGCCTGTGATATCCGAAGATGTGTTACTGTTCCCACAATTTTGGTGTTTAAATGGACAGTAGTACTGGCACAAATTGCGCTTGCACGTATGTGAATATGCCATTAGCCTGCGTGACAAGACTTTTTCATCCCGTACAAAGCCCACGAAATTTCCACAGAGGGGTTCCTAAGTTTGTAAATGTTTGTACATTTATAGACTAAATTCTAAATTCCCATTTAATTTCCTCACGTTTATTGGATGCTTATTATAATTATGCAGCATTTTTTAGTTTTACCGGATGTCGTAGGAAGTCATAATAGTATGGAATAGTAAAGTACTGACTTACAGAGGGATTGAGAGGCTACAAGCATTACCCAGAGGCCATGTCGCCCAGCAAAAATGCAACGTGTGGCGACGTGTTTGCCCGCGTAATCAAACGCTGAGTTAGCCAAACAACTAAATCATTGTGGTTATACAGGAGTCTATAATTTACAGTGAAGCCAAAATGATGATGCTTTGAGTAGTTATCAAAGGCTGGGACCGATATGTGTGGTTTAATTAAACGGTTTCGATTAAAGATATCTTCCTTATGTACAAGGAAACACGATGACGAGGTAATGCGCGCATTTTTCAACTGTCTACTTATGTTACATCAGTAGAGTTTATTTACTAAACAACCAAGACCAAGCAAGTGACGGTAACTTAACATGAGATTTATTTTCATGAAGGCACCCGCGAAACCGCGTTCGTGACGGCAGCGTGGGCTGCCGGTGCAGTTCAAGCGGTGACGCGAGCCTGTAGTCGCGGTCGTATCAGCACCTGCGACTGCGACATCTCCCGACGTGGCGGTTTAAAGGCGGCGGACTCGGAAGGCGCCTTCACATGGGGTGGCTGTAGCGATCCAATTCGATTTGGTATGCGTCTCGTGCGACTCCTTCAGGAGCCTCGCATAACGTCCGCCAAGGACGCAGATAGTCGCCGTCGCCTTCGTATCCACGCATTAGGTGGCAAGAAAAGTGACACACGTGAAAAAAGAGGGAGTGACGATGATGTTATGGCGCGGTGTCTGATAGATGTCCACAATCAAAAGGTCGGCAGAAGAGTAAGTAACCTTTTTAAGAGTGGTCAGCTTACGTTTTAAAAGTTGTGGAAACTGGGTGGCTTATATTTCTGATCTGCAATCAGAATGCTCATTAAAGCTAGGGTGTGCAAAAGGTCAGGTAGTTTATGTTTCTTTTTTGTCTACAGGGGTACTCACTGGTATTCATCTGGACGCTGAATATCCTCATAATTGAGCGGCACAAATTGCTTTGATAAAGAGCAGCATTCAAAAATATTTGCATAATATTAGTTAACTGGAGCATGAGCCCATTAGGTATTAACAAAGAGAAGGTAGGTGTGTGGCTGTACTCATAACAAAGCGTACTGTAGAAATGTGGTTTTACATTCCTATGGAAAGAAGGCAGACTAGCTATTTGTTAGCACTACTCATAAATCTTAAGTATAGCAACTTTCTAAGGCAAAATACACGAAGCAGAAAAGTTTTTTAAAGGTTAGTATCACGGAAAAGAATTAAAAAGAATTTTCTTTTAATTGCACATGGTCACGAAGTAGATTAAAGAAGTTTAGTATCACATGTGACTCACTTATTCCCATGAAACTATTCATTTGCTGAAAAAGTTCCCGTGGGTCTTGACACCTCTCTAGACAATGACATGCCCTAACATGTGGAACCTTGCCAAATGCACTCATCTTTAATCTCCTGTCTATAAAATGACCAGTCTTCTTTTAATCATTGCATACGTCTTTTGATTTCCTTCTCTTATATCGCAATCTTTTTGCTAGACCAAGTGGATCTTGTGCGGGCCTATTTGATTCAAAACCAAGCCTAAATTTTTCACTTTAGACATTTAGAATTCACTAAGGTTGGTACCTTTTGTAACAGTAAATATATTTCAGTTTTCTCAATACCCAAGTTCCACGGGAAAATCCTCCCTCTTTCTATGCCGGGCAACGCCCGTTTTCCCCCAATATCGGGCACGCATACTTGTGACCACTTCAAAGAAGATTTTGCCTTAAGCAGTAACTTACGACGTTTCCCCCTCTAACCTACAAAGGATTGTAGTTAGTCCTGTAACCATCCGAGTCGAAAGGAGACACAATACTAGGGCCAAATATGCATTGCAGAAGTACAGACGGGGTTAAGGGCTACTGGCATGATAGGGAGGCCATTATTTCTAACCAAAATACAAAGGCGGCGCCTTGAATGCCGGCTAAACTGGTCTGAGGAGCTGAACAGGCAATCAAAATACCAACCATTCACTTCATTTTTTCGTCTGGAAATATGTACTGCAGTCTAATGAGTACCGTTATCTCTATTAGACCGAAGTTGCGACCTTGGTCTTGCTAATGCAATTCTGACTCTCATTTCCCTTCATGAAATAAGTATAAATACTTTACAAGACTGATGATAGCCTTAGGAATGTTTTAATTAAGCAAATAAATCGGAATGTAGCATTCATTTTTGACTTGGCCAAATAGGCTTTACGTCGCCTTAACTGGACTGAGCAGCGGTCGAGTTTAATGCGCCTTTCGTGCTCAAGGAATCATCTTTTCGGCACATTAGTAAAAAGGGAGTCACTTTAATCTCTCGCCTTTGCAACCGAACCGCATCTCTTGAAGAAATACGACACCTTTGACAGTCTGAGGTCCTTGTAGCTGATGCTGCCCCAGTGCAGACCCACCCCTCCCTCCTTCACCCCACCTCACTCCCCTTCCACCTTTTCCCACTTAAGGCGACGGGTAATTAATTTTTGTGGCTGGCACTCAAGACTCCTCGAGTTAGTTGGCTGGCGTTTTTTACGAGTTTACATGCAATGACCACTGCTGGAGGAGTTTTGTACGCGTTTTATGGATGTCCTTTAAAGGCGCAAGTTAAAAACAAGTAGAAAACTGCAGTTTTTGCCATTTTAATGAAAATCTTTGGCAAATTTTTGTGTCTAACTTTGGCAGTGATCTCTATCATTGCTCCGTGGGTAAAATTTGATTTTGCTTGGACGTATTTGGTAATAAGTGAAACTAAAATCTAATAAGTTTGAAGCAGTTTTTGGGGAAGAAGGACTTCTCGTCTAATTAGGATCTAGTCAATGGATGATGACGGAAATTAGTCTAGAAGTTAGGGAATAAAAAACAGTCTTAAATTAAAAATGCTTAGTTAATTGCTAACATAAGCCTAATTACTAAAAATGAGGCAACAAATTTTGACATCAAGATATACATCAAGCCCAACAAGTCCATCACCGAAGTTCAGCCGTTTTATGACTCTCACGTGGCAGAAGACTGGAAAATGCAGTTAACGACAGATCAGGATCATCCTACTGTAGTGCTTCTAGACTTCCTTGAAGACGAAATAAGAGAATACTCAGGCACAATATGCAGTGCCTGCGTCGAAAAGGACTGAGGGGTTACTGACACGGCCCGGAGGCCATGCCTCCTAGCACAGGTACAACGGCGGAGCCCTAAGAGAGAAAATTAAACAAAAGAGAAAAGTAGTATGATCCTTCCGCCGCCTCACCTGTGGGGCGTCTTCTACAGCGCTTCTCTTGATCAACCTCCCGCGTCGGCCATCACGACGTAGGCGGCGCTGTGCAGCAGCGCCAATCATCGAACATGTTTGCAACTGAGGAGGTATCTGGCTGCAGTGTCACTGATCTCTTGCTAGTTCTACTGTATCTGGCATGTCGTCCTGCTTGGAAACTGCATTAGGGGAAGGAAGAGTGTGCTGGTCATCTCGTAAGTACACCACTAGTAGTAGGGAACACTGACCTAAAGACAAAGACGTTCAATAAAGTACGGGGCTTTAAAAGTTTTGTAAGGATGCAATTTTGCACTAAGTCCTCCTTGCCACTTTCCTCTTTAGTGCTACCCACCCCAATCCATTTGCGTCCAATCCAGCTAGTAGAGAGATGGGATAGGAGATATCTCATGTTCACTTATTTGACGTCTTCATGCAGGTATCGCGGACAGCTCTGCAACAAACCTTTCTAGATGGTTCATGTCTAGTGTCACCTCAGCTGTTAATAGCATTCCTGCTGAACGCCAAAATAGGGTGACTATCGAAGGTGGACGACATTTTCAACCCTTTTGCTAGGGGTCATTGCGGGTACGCCCATCCGTCATTTTAGTAGTAGAAATATGGGTAATTGTCCTCTATGATCGGGTTTGCCCTCCTTTGCCATTAAAGTAGCTTCCAGAGTAATTCTTGAAGACGAAGGCAGTCATGATACCAAAGCAGAATATGCATTGCTGCCGTGGAGCAGAACTGGTGGACTACTGGCATTACCTGGATGTCATGACGCCGAGCGGAAGCACAAAGGCGGCACCCTAAGTGCCTGTGTATGCGAAACAGAAGTAAAAAAGATCAAAGTAGTGCAGCGGGTACTATGTTTAATTCCTGAAAATAAGGTCGTGAATTTTATCAACAAGATATGCATCATGGCTGGCAAGTTCATTACCCTAGCCCAGACGTTTTATTGCTCTCATATGCCAAAAGACTCAGAAATGGGGTTGTAATTAGCTCAGGAACATTTTATCTTTAAAACATTATTTCTTTGACCACTCTGCTTGTAACATAATTTGGCACAATCACAGTTACCACAAATCTCTTCAAAACACTGTCACGTATATGTAACGCTAATAAACAGCAAAAAAAAAAATTTAAGGCCTTAGCATACCACTTTTCGCCATAAAATTCACCATTGAAGAGTTAAACTGTTTTTTTTTAATGATCCATTCAAAATAAAGTTACAATTTAAGTAAGGTCAGAATTTAAATTGATCAGCGTCTGCGGACTTTTATTTTGCCTTTCATTGAGGGCAGACTGTAAATTCTTCGCGAAAAACGCCACCTGAACAACGCACAACTAATTTAAATTGTTGTCTTGGTTAAAAAAATTGGGGTGGAGAGTCCGCATGAATCATGCAAGGGAGGATTTTGTTCAAAAAGGGGTCTTCTCTTATGGGAGTTTCATTAAAGCGGGGGGAGGACGGGGCTACGAGGGACGTCCGCCGAACCACTCAAATTGACTGCTGCTTGGCTAGCTGGTCGGTTGGCGGAGTTGGTTACCTAGTTGGATGGGTAGCTGCGCAGAAACTAAATAATAGCCACTTATCTGCATGAGATCATTAAATAGACCAAAGACTAACACGAATTTGCATAAATAATTTTAAAATATGGTTATTTATTTTCGGTGATGAAAATTAATTAGCTCTAGGACGCTTTTTACACCATCGCCTTCGTTGAAATTGCCATTGGGGCAATTTTAAAATTCCTTTTTCGACAAAACAAAAGCAGTGCTTCCTGGAAGCTAGATAACAGACGCGGTCCCAGCCGCCTCCGTTTCTCTCACTGTTTTATTTTTCCTCAAGCATTTGTCAAACCCCTATCATGCTTTACCAGTTTACAAGGGTGGAAACTAATGCTTCATGTCAAATTCCAGGTATTTTAATGGTATGCAACTTATTAGGTTGTTCCCGGGTTGGACATTGGTCTACCATTTCATAAGGCGATTTTAATGACTTTGAAGCTCTTTTTGACATCACAAAGCAGTTAGATTTGAATCAGAGCAGGTTTAACTAACATTTTATGTCCAGTTAAAAATGGGGCAGTAATAGAAAGCGCAATGGAGGAGACCGGTACCGGCGGCCTGATCGACTCATGCCTTACAATGCATGCCTATAAAAGATGCTTGCTATTTGAGAGTCACAATAAGTCGTTAAGGTCAGCCATACAAAAATTATACCAACTTTCTGAATCACTTGCTACATTTGTTTGTTCCTTAGTCTCGCATAAATGAGATGTGCGCAATTTTTGCAGCGATGGATTGTGGTATTTCAGAAATCAAAACTAGGTGCCCTTTTTAGCTATTGTTGTGCTGATAAGTGTTTTAGTCACCCCTTATGAATCTTGTCAAAACACAATATCCTTACTCATGTCATAATCTGTTAGTGAAGTGCAAATTTTACGAATGGCTCAACAAAGCGATTTGGGTAAGTCTAAACTACTCCTAAACAAACAAGTAGTTGTGCCTGAAGTTATACCAATCTCCATGGTTCTTGTCCATCTAATAACTTTACATATTTTGAGGAAAGGCTAATTCAAGTCCTTTTTGATTTTGTCAAAAAGATTTATTACAGTGGCCTGAGTCTTTCCTGCAGTCGAACGAAGGCATAGTGCTAGGACAGAATATGAATTGTCGACGTACAGAAGGGCCGCATGCTACTAATATGGCTTAAAGGCCATGGTTCCGAGCAAAAGGACAGTAGAAAAGCCTTAAGCGTCCATATAACTAAAACAAAGTGCTCAGCAAGCAATCAGGACATTACAACTAGCTCTGGTTTTGTTTGGAAATTTTATCAAAAAATGCATTCTCCGGTTTAGTTCCCCCTTCCTATTGCCCCGAGCTGCAGCAATAAGTCTGTTAAGGTGTATCAAGAAATCTTAAAGAACCATTATTCCCCTGTTGTTACAAATTGGGGATCCCACTTTAACAATGATACAGTCGCATGCTGTTAATTTGGGAATATAGGTGGAATAAGTCTAAGTACATTGATAAGACCTTTTAAAACCCTCCTGACACTTCTCCACTCACTTCCACTGCAGTTCATCTGGCAAAGCCGAGAGAAAAAATGCAAATGTCATGGCGTCAGTGGGGCCTGTACACTGCGGACCTGTTGGCAGCGTGTCGGTGCATTTCGAGGTGTTGGTGACCTGTTGAAGAAGGCCTACTCCAATGCTCTTCAAGTGTCTTTTGATGCTGCCACTCGGCAGTTGCGTCGACTTGCCGATCCCCTCTACTTTGGGGGAATGCCATTGCCTGCCGGGCACCTCATGAAACGCAGCACTAGTTGGTTTGTCGGTAGTAATGGTGGAAATCCATTGGCTTGGCAGCGAAGGCGACGGGAAACGCAGTTTGGTGAGAAGTGGATCAAACGTCAAAAGGATAAGTTGGTTTACCTGGATTACTCGCCAGATTACTGCAAAGCGGACCATAGAATTGGTAAGGAAATTGGTCTTTAAGTAAACTGTAAAGCTTCCAATTGTTTTGCCAAATCTCACTTACTTTTACACAATCTGAGACTTGCTATTGACCAATATACAAAGCGTGCTTCAAGATGCTGGGCAACGGTTGTGGATCATGCGGGTGGTGAATAATGAAGTTTCTGGGCCACGAAGACGTAAAGCTAGCAGGCACCTACTTGTACAGATAACTTCAAGTACAGTTAGCTACTTAACAGCAGAAGGGTGTTTGCAAAAATGTCAGTGGCAATCTCTTCCGTTTTGGTATCCACCTTACAGACTCGGGAGGCATTCTTGTGCATATCAAGCGGGTCGAATGTTGGGTACTGCGCTCCTGTGCAGTAAAATATTTCTGTGAAAAGGGTAAATAGAGTTCTATCCTCAGGTTACGCGCCTTCTCTGACTAGAAACTCCATTAATGCTACATAGGTAAAGCAACTGTTGTCCAGCGTCTCTACGAACGCTGTGTGAGGACTGTACATCAGCAGAACCCTTAAACTTCTTCCATACGTCACTTCTAATAAACACGGAAGAAATTCGGGTCAGATAGAGTAATAAATTCTTCATTCAGTTTCCTCCTTAAGCTCTTTATTTGTCTTTTTGGGTTTCTGAGCGAAGAGATGGAATGGTTCACAAAAGAGCGCACTGACTGTCATCTGGACATAAAAATTGAGCTAACATTTCCCCAATAGTACCTGTCTGGTAGCAAACAAGATCAAAGACCATGGCTTTCACCAAGTAACTAGCATTGGGGGCAGTAAAGTGAGTGAGGGGACCTCTGCAGTCCATCTAGTGCAATAAATTTCCCAATTTGATTCGGCGTCTTGCGTGACGGAGCCGCGCTAGCCGCAGAGGCTTATGGCACTAGCGCCTGGGGATAAGTGGTTCTCTTCTCACCCTCCCCACCCCAGGGCAAAGTGTCCCCTCTGTTAGTGATTTAGCCTGTTTTAAATGTCTGCTTTTTTTTATGCGCCACATTAGTTACCCACTAAGTCGTTATAAAGCATGCGAGTCTGAGAATGTCTGAGCGGAGGTTAATGCTTCACCTGTCCCCCACTACTTGCCCTATAATTTTTAAATGAAATCATAGTCTTGAAGTTAGTAGATTGGCATGAAGATATCCACTTGGGAAGTATCTCATGTAATTGAACAGCAGTCCATAGGGTGGGCATTGCATTTGTCAATCTCTTGTCAAATAGGCATCTTATCAGGGTATTAACCATTTTAATTGAATCCTTGATAGAATTAGCTCTCTGTTCTCATGTTCCCTGAGCCAATGGTATAAAGAGGCAAAAACCATAAAATTTTGAGTACAGCGCGTTACACTTCTGTCAATTTTAAACAGAAGCCTTTCTACGGCGCTTCATGTTTAGAATTCAGTCTATTTATTTAAACTCATGTCAGCTGTCAGCATATTAGGCACCTCTCATCCCTCTGACATTAATGAAGCATGCACATTATCTCTAAAGAGAGTACAAACAAAGATAAGCGTGGAAGTGACTTCAGTGGAAACATGGAAAAAGAGATGGGAAACTAGTGGTGCAAGTGACGTTGTCAGACTTCCATGACATAAGCGTAGGGGTAGAACTCAAATGCCGATGTGTAATTTCTTTACAACACTATTTGACTCTAACATTCTAAGAAATACCTGGTCCTAGCCAGACCCCTTTTCCGCGGTTTTTTTTTTCACAATGCCTATTCAACTTCCCCTATGGTCATCTAGTCAATGTCAAGGGAGCATGATAATCTCGTAGGTACAACATAGAGCCTCAGATGTCTACGGGGTGGTAGGGGAGTATCTCTTCCACGGAATGTATTCTTACCATAAATGCAAGGATGTGAAGGGAAAGTTAACCATCTTTAAAATTTTGTCTCAACTCCTAATAAAGTTCACGCGGCATCCACTCAGCTACCATGACGACTTTCCCAGCAGACACATATGCAAACCGAGTAGTCCATCATTCATGTCAAGAGCTACTGACAATTCTTTACAATTTATTCTTCAGTTGCCTTAACCAATGGCCACTCGGGATTAACTTGAGAATCTTTACAAAGGAAATAGACCACTATGTGGTGTTTTAACACCTTCAAACACAGCTTTAGTGTCCTTCTAGACTAAATTCGTGAAGAGTTTATCCAACTTATTTAACCGACATTCCATAACAAGAGGATCCGAAGCAAGTATAGAGTGGTAGAGAGCACAAGAGATTATAGGCCACCACCCCTGATAGACCCAACTAAACATTTATGTCTTGGAATGGATGCGGTTCAAAGGTTGCACTTATTTCAATAATTTCCTACAAGTTACAAAACATTGTATCCCGTTTTTTCTAACAAGTGGAGGAAATTTTGACTACTGGACAGAAAAAAGTATTTTAAAATGAGCTTTGGTTTAACAAGCCTCAAAGCATGTGTCACAATTCGCACGTGGAAGATGGAGAAGTTATCCACCTTTTCTAGACACTGCAAATTGTCCACCTGTTCCAACTAGTTACAGTATACATAGAAATTATAAATACACAATTTTCATATAGCCCCCCCAAGACTTTTTTGAAGGTGAAAGAAGATGTAATACTTAAACAGAATATGCATTACCGATGTACAGAAGATATGAGTGTTGACTGGTAAAACCCAAAGGTCATTCCGCCTAGTGGAAGCACAAAATCAGAGCCTGAAGTGCCCGCGTAACCAAAACGAAGAGTTAAACAAACAACCAAAAGGTTGCATAGCACGAATCAACCGTACTGGTCATCGAATTTGCGTACTACTGAAAGGATATTTGACTGCACCGTCGCTGATCTCTCCTCGTATTTCCGATATGTCTTAAGTTTTGTTCTGTTTGGGAACTGCATTAGGGGAAAAGGGAGAATCGTTTGATAAAGGATGGCACCCTGAGTCCTTGTTGAAGTAGAAAGAAGTAATACTAGGCCAGAATGTGTATTGCTGACGTCTAGAAGGGCTAGAAGACCCCTGGCTTGGTCCGGATCCCATGGCGCCCAAATGAAGGAAAAAGGCGGAGCCTTAAGCGCCCTCTAAACCGAAACGATGAGTTGAACAAGCAGTCTAAGTAATACACTAAGTTATCAGTAATATTAGTTGAATAAGTAATAAAATTTTAATAAACTTGAAACACTTTTTAATTTGCCCTCATTTTATTCTTCATTCATCAGCAAATCGGAGCCCTCATTCAGGCTGAAAACACTTTAAAAGGGTTTGAATATAAATGACTCAAAAATCGACCACTTTGCATAAATATCATTCCTGTTAGAATCATCTAGTTTTTCCCCAAAATAAGATAATGAAATGGAAGATAATTGAATTTAATTTGTTTTTTTCCTCCTGCCAATTTTCAGGGCATTTCGGAGTGGTCGGACGACAGTGCGACGTTGATATCCCCAATTCGCCGAACAGTTGCAGCAAAATTTGTTGCGGTCGTGGTTATGACACTTTTGAGGTGGACACGAAAGAAAAATGCGGTTGCAAATTTGTTTGGTTAGTTTAACCTCTTTCTCTCTCTCCTCCACCCTCCTTTCCTCCGCCTCTTTTTCCTTCTACATTTGTTCTTCTCCTAAATAGTCAAGTCAATTCGTAGTGCATTTATAGCTTTTGGAGGCAGATTTTTATGCTTTAAAATAAGTAGGTTTAAAATGTAAGGAAATCTTCTCGTCTGACATGACATCAAACAGGGTATCCTCCTCTTTTTCCGGTCCCACAGAAGGACGGAAGAGCAGGCAGGTGTATCAAACACTAGCTGAGTGGTCACAGGAACTACTGGTGTGCTTTTGCCTTGGGATTAGTTGCGAAGATCAAGGACCCACTGCCGCGTTTGGGACGTTGACACCATCCATATATCCACGGTTGTGCAGCTCGGTGTAGCATTGCCACTGTTCGTCCATTAGCACGACCTCTTTCATACACATTTTCACCACTCACGCCCAGCATCTTGAGTAAGGGTGTTTGGACTGGTATGCCGCATTCTGTATTTTTATGCAGAGGAATTTTGTAAAACAATGGCTAAGTTATCCACCTCAAAAGACCAAGGTAGAAGGGGACCAAGTGTACAAAACGTACACGACATCCAAAAACGCATGTATGTCATACAGACGCTCTGCTTTCTCTCATTCACTCACTCACCGCATCTGAGCAATTATTCATGAGGCAAAATCTTTCCCTTTCCCTTCTACCTTTCGTGTCTAATTCTTCTCACAAGGACAAAAAAAATGACAGGCACGAGGGTGGAACGAAATCCTACTGCATCGCCTTGGATCCCACTGGGACGACTAAATTTTTCGAGTTAATTACAAAGGTGTTTCATGTGGGAGTTAGCAGGAGGAAAAGAAATGAGACCCCTTCTACCCCCTTCCCTAAGGCGCTGAGTCATGTCCTTGACATGGGGATTTAGCGTGGTCCACCTAATCCCATGACTCATTCGGTCGGGGCTGAGAAGTGAGCACAGCTGGAAGTATATTTGCATAATGACAGGTTGAAGGGGCTTCGAGGCCTGCAAAGGGGCAACTTAATCCCATCAACCGAAGCCGATGGACTTAAGGATGCATTGAGGAAATGAAAAAAATACGGTGACTAAGGCAAATGGGAGGAAGAGGAGGTACAGAGGCACCTTACTAGTACTCACCTCATTTCCCTTCACCGGAAAAAAAGGCTACTGATTCTCCAAGTTCCATTTTACTTTTTTGATTAAGAAAGGTTAAATCATGGGAATTGCAGTTGAATGTTTAGAATTTAGAAACCATTTGGTTAGTACAGATGATGATGGTTCTTCCTTTAAACTGAAGACAAACAAAATTCTTTGTGATTACCTAGGAAAATTAAACACCGCTTCACCATTTAACATCTCGTGAAGACTTTCTCCACGACTTAAGTTAGGACTATCCGAGCCTAAGTCTTCAAGAAACATTTTGATTTCCTGTCATAGTCTTTCGCGGATGTGGTGGAGTCACAGAAGTGTAGGGTAGTGAATTTTGAAGTACAAAAAGGTATTTCCCTTCACAAGTCGTCGGTTAATCAGCCAGCAGTATCAAATACACAACGCCTTTTTAGAACAAACAGTAAAGGAGTGAGGAAAATAATGGTAGTCTCTTGAGCCTCTCGTCATCCGTTAATGCATATCATATGGCACCCACCGCCTTGGTTGCCACGATACCAATGTAAACAGTTTTTTGTCACTTTACGTTAAGCGTTAATGATAGTTGTCGTTGGGTTGTTAATCTCTAATTATTTTAAGCAGTAAAGACACGTTATTCTTCATTGCTATCACGAATAGAGCCTTTCTGGTTTTAAAGCATCCATCTTTAAAAAATTCATAGCCAACATCCACTTATTTTTTTTAACTGCCGCTTCTCTTTTAAATGCTATACAGCCAATTTGACTTTCTAACCAATCGGACGGGCTCAAGCTTTTTCCATCAGATCCATCCAACGTTGGTGACGTGAAGGTGGGTCCACCATAAGAGAAAAACAGCAAAGAACACAGTAAATAGCACCCTTTACACTTTGCGGTGGTTGCGTTTAAACCACCACACGTATTTTTTAAGTCAATTCATCAATCTATCCTGTAAAAAGCTCAAGCCTTTTTGGTCACCTACTAATAAACCTGAAATTAGAAATAAGTAGCATATTTATTTTCCAGAACGTAATGAGAAGTTTTACCACACACTCCCTCTGATCAGTCCATTTTGTGATTCTGAAAATATCCTAACTTCCGTAGATGTTCTAGAAAATATGTTACCAGAAGATAACTGAAATTCTATTTTAAATCGTTTTAAATAATCGGG